CAAAATACTCATGTACATAAAAAAATAAATCAAAAATATATTTCAAAGAAAATGCACTAGACAAGAGATCATGAATTTCTAAACTCCAGATTGGCTGGAGTGCATGCAAAGCTTATGGTTAGTGTGAAGGACCTCCTTTCTGTTCTTCACTTCAGAAACAGGAGAGGCAGATCCTGCAGTAAAAGCAAAGCTCATATTCTCCAATCTGAATATTGACAGTGTTTTACACTCTTCTCTGTTGTCTCCAAAGTGTACTGTTTTAAAACTTGGATAAAGCTTGGTAATGGTTTCTTCCTGGGCTGCTTAAGATTTCAGCTGGGGGGTGGTTTTCTAACAAAATCCACTTTATTCATATTGAAGTTGGTCCTACCTATGGCAGCAGAGCCATAGATCTCTATGTTTAAAAGACCAACAACAGGCCTGACTCATCTAAAGTTCTACTCACCCCTGTCACTTCCACTCCAGCCCAAATCCAGGATATAATGGATAAATAGTCTCCTAGAAAAGGGGAGCCTGAATAGCTATACCTGATATTCCTCTTAATAAGAGTGGATAAGAAACACTGGCAGTTTGTATGAAGTTGTTAGTATGTATTCATCTGTCAGAGTATTTAATTATCAAAAATAAAACCTTCAGGGTTTGATATTTGGGTCTATGTAACAATTTTCCGTCTCTACTTTACACCACATTATTGTATGTATTATTTTTAATCAGGACATTTTACCTTCTGCAGAATTTATATGAAATATAAATAGTTTTGTGTTGCTTGTGAGCACATAAAATAATATTTGACTCAGATATTCCTATAGACTAGTTTGGCTGTTCCAATGCTCTTTTATACCACAGACAGGTTTTTTTTAGTGTTGAAGATTAATGTGCACATACACAGTCATTTCCACTGTTGCCACAGAAAGATTGCAGGGTGAAGCTCCCAAAGGGCAAGACACTAAGGTGTTTTGAGACTCTCTCCCTAAAGTTTGAGAACCACTGGTTTAAAGGGAACTAATATTCATCTAAAATTAAATATGCATTTTTCATGGACCAGGCAAAGTCATTTTTAAAATGCTGAAGCTTGCTGGGTGGTGGTGGTGCATGCCTTTAATCCCAGCACTTAGGAAGCAGAGGCAGGAGGATCTCTGTGAATTCGAGTCCAGCCTGGTTTACAGAGTGAGTTCTGGGACAGCCAAGGCTACACAGAGAAACCCGGACATGAAAAACAAACAAAATATGCTGATGCTTAATTTACATTGTTTATCATTTTAGAAAATAATTTTTCTGTCTCTTGAAATAGATATGAGTGAAGGCGGATTATATACAACTTTTACCTCTCTGCTGTTTTCTCCAGAAGTTGCTAAATTAGTTCAAATCTAACAAAGTAAATAATCCTTCCAATAAACCTATGAGTTGGTTAGATTTTTTGTCAGCTTAACACAAGTTACAGTTATCTAGGAAAGAGAACCTCAACTGAGAAAATTCCTCCATCAGATTGCCTGTACACAAGTCTGTAAGGTATTTTCTTGATTCATGATTAACATGGAAGGGCCCAGTCCACTGGGGACAGCCCCTGGACAGGTCATTGCCTGAGTTTTATAAGAAAGCAGGTTGTGTGGAACATCCCTTTACACTGTGTGAATATATGTCACTATGATTGTTTTAATAAAGAAACTGACTGGTCAATCAATAGCTGGACAGGATAAATTTAGGAAGAAGAGCCAAACTGGGAATACTGGGAAGAAGAAGAAAAGCAGAGAAAGGAGTCATGAGCAGATGCAGAGAAAAGCAAGATGGACATGCTGTACTGAGGAACGTTATCAAGCCATGTGGCAAAGAGTAGATAAAAATATGGGTTAATTGAAAATGTAAGAGTTAGCTAGTAACAAGCCTGAGCTTGTAAAGGCCAGGCATTTACAACTGATATTGAGTCTCTGTATCAGTTATTTGGAAACTGTTGGGCTGAGTAAGCCACAGGGAGCAAGACAGTAAGCAGCATTCCTCCATGGCCTCTCCTTCATTTTTTGCCTTGAGTTCCTGCCTTGGTTTTTCTCGGTTGACTGTGACTAAGGATATATAAGCCATATAAACTCTTTCCTCAACAAGTTGTTTTTGGTCATGGTCTTTATCACAGCAGTAGAAAAGAAAACTAAGACAACCTAGAATATAGTTTCTTGCTAGTTTCCTCTTTTTAGCTTATGAAGTCCTTGGCAGTACACAGTTGCTCATTTAGTAAAGGAGGAAACTGTTTGAATTTAATAACTTTTCTTCCCCCAAAATATGCATTAAGCAAATAGTAATGACTTCAGGTGAATTACTTCCAGTTTTTTGTAGGAAGTTGGTTTTGTTGTTGTTGTAGTTTTGTAACATCACAGAATTATTTAGTTTTAGATTAGGGACAATGTCCAACCACTAAGGCTCACTTCGTGTAAAAACAATTGGAGTGACCAAGTAATATTCCAACCTACCTTCAAAGTCCTTGTGAATTTGCATGTTTGGTCCTGTGACCAGCCTTGACTACTGAGGAGCTTAAAACACACAGAATTCTGGTATGTGGAAATCCACATAGTTCATCCCGAAAATACCATGTGAAAGCTGAGCAGATACTAATAATGCATACATTCTTTCAAGTAAGTGTTTAAAGTCTAGAAATGTTGATATTGTATGAAATGAGGGATACATGGAGTCATTTTAGTGAAGAACTTGGTAAGACTGAACATGACTCATCTGATCTTCGATTGTTATATTTCTTGTCCAAGAACTAATCAAACACACATTTTCTCTGTCCATTTAACTATCTATGTTGTGCACTGAGATAAGCACAATACAACTGGGTGATAGAAAGGAGTCCCATGAGGAACCCATTTGTCTCATCCTTTTTTTATTAAAAAAAAAAAAAAAAAAAAAAAAAAAAAAAAAAAAAGCTAATAATATGGATCCCTAGCAAGGCTTGTTGTGCTGGTAGAATTTGAAGGAGCCGATTCTGTTCCATTGTTGCTGTTTTGCTTTGTTTTGTTTTGTCTTTAAAATTGAAGCTTTTGATTCTATGAAACATTGTTTAAATAGGTCTAAGTAAGTCTAAAATAGTATGTGATGAAGTGAAATGTAATTACAATAACTTAGAAGCTTTGTAAGTTTCCATTGCATTGTGATTAGTGGTGCATAGATCTGCAGATACCAGAGTAAGTGGTGGATGCTAACCTGCTGAGGAGGAAAGCCATTGGGCAGGTGGAGTCTCTCTTACCAGGGGAACTTTAAGTCCCTTTATATACGGATAGGTAAAGGAAAGAAGTACCCCATCATATCTGCTTAAGATCTGTTTCTCATGAAATTTTACTTTGTCTTGCATAAATTTCAATAGGAACCTGTGCATTTCAACTATATTGCATGCAACAAAACTAGATAGACCGAAAAACAAACTAAACTAAAAATAAAAGAAACCCAAGTTGGAAAATCAAAATGTTTGCTTTTAGAGATAGACACACCACCCAAAGGGGCCACATTTTAGGGTCTCCCGTCGCTACTCATCCCACTCTATCAGGCACTTGATCTTCTAGAGCAACAGATTCAGTGAGGGAAGAGAGAAGGTGGTGGAGAGAGGAGACAGAATTAGAATTCCAGGGTCCATTCAGAGCAAGGGGTTTGGCCCACAGTGATCCCCTCCTCACTCCTGGCCAATGCGGGTGCGCACTTGCAAGGCACTGCATCTTCACAACAGCTTGAGCAGCTGCGGGTTAAAGATCCAGGCTTTTAATGCTTGAGTTCTCCCTTTCTGACGCTGTACTAAGAACACCTTTCCCGATGTGATCGCTGACTTGGAGGACGTCCAGCTCCTGCCCAGAAAGCACCAATGAAATGGGAAACTGTGCAGTTGGTAATACTTATCGCAAGAAAAAAAAAAAAATCAAGCAAGTAAATTGCTGTGCCCTTGCAAATGTGCCTGGCTAGATCCAACAGATCCAACTTTCTTAAAGATGCACCTTGAGTGGTAAGAGCTCTGGAGCCGACTCGTGGACCAGCAGTGTCCCTACTCCAAGGACCTTGCAGGTTGCTTAGGTCCCTCCAAGTGCAAGGCGTTCCCCATCATCTTCTTCAGACCCTGAAACCTGCCTGTGGCCAGGCAGATCCCTCCTCGGAAAAGTCCAGACTCTGGATGACACTCAATGTCGAGGCAATCAAGCAGCTCCTTTTAAATAGCCCAAGATCTACATTTAGACAAAAACAGATTCCAGTTCCCGGTAAAGGCATTTCTGCTCATCCTGTCACTTGTGACAGGAACGGAGGGAAACAGACTGCCGGAGAGAGAGACAGGAGAGGCAGAGGAAGGACGAGAGAGGGGGAGACCAGACGCGGGTGGAGACGTGAGGGAGGGGCGGAGACTGAAGACTGGGCCGGGAGGGGACGGGGGAGGGGATGAGAGCGCGAGAGGCGGAGGGGCCTGACGAATATCCGCGCCCCGGAGCAGCGCTCGGTGGTTCTAATTAAAGCAGCGCTCGGAACCCGGGGGACCCGCCTGACGTCGGCGGCCGC